TCTATCTCTACCTCTCTATACTAATAGTCCATATATATGATATATAGATATATCTATCTAAATATCTAGCTATTTACCAATTATGTCTATCTCTTATATAGTCCATATATATGATATATACCTATTATATATATCTATTATATAGCCATATACATGATATATATTAAACATATGATGTATATCTATTAATCTATTATATAGCCACTTACACGATATACATAAATATATAATATATTCATACATATATTATATTAATTATATAATGCGCTAATTATGTATTAGTTTTATATTATATAATTTTATAAGGTATAATTATATATTATATTATATATATCATGTATATGGCTATATAATAGATTAATAGACATATAACATATATAGGGACTATATGATATGGACTTTGTAATCTATTGTATAATCCATATACAGGTGATACATTATATATGATGTATTATATATATGATATATATGACATATATGATATATCATATTATATATCACATATATAATTGGTCCTTACGCAATTAATAATTACGATTTTACACATTAAACGATGACCTGTAGGTTTAATGGGCATACCGACAAAAGAGAAAAATCTAGCTGCTTCTGTATAGCTGTGAACTTTAGACATGTTAGAAGCTGAAGGACATAGAGAGGAGTACTTCTCTTCTGCCTGGTTTGTACGCACACCTATTTCCCCTTCCTTGTTTTCACTGTTCACTCTGGTTGGATCTTTCTGTCAGATCCTGATGTATCTACCTATCTGCACACACACATACATCCACTCACCTCTTCCTGGCAAGCTCAATTTGGATAGTAAAGTTGTAACAGGCAAGCGTTGTGTCCTGGGGTGGTAATTACGGTCCATCTTTCGGGGTATAGCTGTGTTCTTTTCTTTCTCCTAGGCATGTTCTGAAAGGCTAATGACTGGCCGTGTTGAGACTAACTGAAAGATATCAAGTGTAACCAGATCAAAGGCAAGATCCCTCACATGTGATTAGGGAATTACACGGCCCTGGCTCCATACAGAATGCCCTGCGTCTGGGAAGCACTGGTGAGAGGGAGCTGGTGTTTGGAAACCACTGAAATCGGAAGCTTCTCTCCTTTCATGAGTGTTTCAAGGAGCGCTTGTCTGTGATGATGAAAAGACCCCATTCGGACCACCAGGCCTGCGGTGCCCTCATTTATCAATCCAGCTGCTACCGCAGCCTCTGCAGAGCCGCAGATTAGCAAACCGAAAGAGACCACGTTTACGTGCTCCTCGGGCCCAGGCCAGCAGGCTGGAAGCTAACATCTGGTTTCAAGGAGAAGAGGGACAGAAGGCTAGGAGATCCAGGCCCGAGCTGGGAGCTTACACCAGCTGGCGATAATTAAATATTAAGAATCGACTGGAATAAGAGTGGAATATGAGGGTCAGCCATAGCAGCAGGAAAAAAAGAACAGTGAGAATTGGTTATGAATCTGATCGGCATTAACCCCCCCAGCCGCTCGCATCTAATGGATGCTTGAAAACCTTCGAAACAGGAGAGCTTCAAATGGCCGTTCAGACCAGGCTGCCAAACACCCTTGTCCATCCCAGGCCAAATCTGACCAGGGAAGAAGAACACGGCGGCGGCTACAGCTGCCCGACGTGAGCCCGCCAACGGTTAACGGAACACGAGACGGGCTGCGAGGTAAAACACTCCAAATGTGCTGGCCTTTGAAGCAGCCAGGAGCCACGGACCTCCAGACAGGACATTCTAAGGAACAGACTTTGGCAGGAAAGACGGCCTTCGCTCCTAATCCCTGTCAGTTTGAACGGCGCTGTCATTTTTTTTTTTTTTACCCCCAAATGCAAGAAAACGAATGTGAGAACCAACCTCTCGCTTTCTCAAAGGAAAAACCTACAATTGGGGCAGATTTCCAGGGAAACACGTTTCCACCGTCACTAAGGAAAGACTACTGTCTCTCTTAAAATTTATTTATTTGACCATTTTATATATATACATATGTATAATACATATATATGTGTATATATGTATAATATATATATACAACACTCTGATCTCTGAAGACCAGACAGTTCCTCAGATTTTAGCACATGCCAAAATCAACCCACCCACCCCCCAAAAAATGTGTAAATGTGGGTGTAGCAGGGACTGGCCCTGGAGACTTGAATCGGGAGGGGAGAGCCGCTCAGCCTTCCCAGGTAAGGTGAACGCGGCCGGTCTCAAGCCACTCTGAAACCGTGGTAAACGCTGACTCACGGTTCTTCAAGAACAGGAGATACGTCCACATTCTATCAACAGCCACCCGCCAACCCCACAGAGAGAGAGAGAGAGAGATGGCCCATGTCCAGGAATTCTGAGTACAAATTCCATAGCTCCAGACTAGCCCTGGCGGAAACGAAGGAGAGACGCATCCCACTGGGAAGAAGCTATACACCCATCACCCTGGCAGGATGGGAACCCCAAAATAGGCGTATTACCTTCCAAGCATGCACCTGAACAAGACAGGAGACCCACACACACACCATGTTAAGAATAACCAGTACCAGTTGCACGCCGACAGCTCACGCCTGTCATCCTGGCTACTCAGGAGGCTGAGATCTGAGGATCTCGGTTCAGAGTCAGCCTGGGCAGGAAAGTCCGTGAGACTCTGATCTCCAAAAGGCTGTGGCCCAAGGGGTAGAGCGCTAACCAAGAACACAAAAACCACAGCAGCTTCCCGGCCCTGAGTCCAGACTCCAGTACCACCAAAACAAAACCTCACACCTTTAAAGGCAAACCAACGGCGGCGGCGTAGTAACGGCGGCCCAGGACAAAGGCCTGGGGGTGAGTGAAGACTTTCACTGAGCCGTTATATTCTAAGTCCAGGGGCCGGGTTCCCGTTGGTGAACAAACGGCGCTACGGCTTCCGCGGGGTCCCGACCACCGTCCGCATCTATGCAGCTCCACAGCCTGGAGGCGGTGGGGCCTTCATCCGACATGCAAACAAGTCCAGCCCCCGGCCGGGGCTCGCCCCTCCACTTCACGGCTGGCGCATCACTACATTTGCTCTTGGAGCTCCACGCCCCAAACCTGACCACCGCCGCTTACGTGGCGGCAAGTCAGCTGGGACCAGAGACGGAACTTGAGCTGTGCGCTGTGACTCTCCCAATCCTTGTCAGGGAAAAAACGCCAGTCTGCGATTGAGATTGGTCACAGTTGGCTGGCAATTAGTCCTTCTGGCTAATATGTCAAGGTATTCATTCTCTAACGTGATCAGGGCCGAGTTCTGATAGGACAAACCAACCCCGCCTCCTGGCTTTTACTTCCACCCCTTACCTTCAAGCCTTCCCTTCAAGGTCACAAATTATTACGCTCGTCGAGATAGCACGCAGAGAGTCTAGTTAATGAGGGAGTCATCTTATTCTCGAAGTGAAAAGCCTGAATTTGTCAATTGAGCTTATTCAAGCTTAAACCAGATCTGAGCTTGAAAAGCTCACGGCATATTGTTTTGCTTATAAATAGTGCCTGACACTTTCCAAATTCAATTTTCTTGAATTCTTACAAAGTCTTAGCATCAGCAAAACCTGGGTCTGGGAGCCTGTCTTCGAACGGCTTAAGGGTAGCTCCGTGTGTGTAGTGTAGTTTTACTTTTGGTTTATCTTTTAAATTGTGACTGCATTTCACAAAGTGGATTAGCTCATTTCTACCATGAATATTACATTATGGAAAATTGGGGGGTTTGTTGGATCCTTTTTTGTTTTGCTTTTGAATGGGAGAAACTATTTTTTTTCTGGTTTTTTGTTTTGGGGATTTCTTTTGTAATCTTCTTAACACAGAAATACTTTTGTAAACTGGCACGTGTCTGTGTCTGTCAAAAAGTCTTTGGAGAGATTTATTCCCGTATTTTTCTGAGCGAATCCACAACCAAGACCTAGGATAAAAATAACAAGCAAACATTTTGCATTTTCAGGTTGGGATTACAGCTACCCATTATTTGTGAAATGTTACTTTTCAAATGTCTTTTCCTAAAACAAGTTGAGTGAGTGCACAAATAATAAATAAAAAGGAAAGAGAAATAGACACCATAATATGAAATCTACTTGGAGGAATGGATTTTAAAAAATAAAAAAAAAAAAAGGAAAAAACAGAGCCAGGTGCTGGTGGCTCACACCTGTCATCCCAGCTACTCGGGAGGCTGATATCTGAGGATCGCTGTTCAAAGCCAGCCCGGGGCAGGAAAGTCCGTGAGACTCTTATCTCCAATAATCCACTAGAAAACCAGAAGTGGTGCTGTGGCTCCAGTGGTAGAGCGCTAGCCTTGAGCTGAAGCGCTGAGGGACAGCGCCCAGGCCCAGAGTTCAAGCCCCATGACTGAAAAACCACCACCACAAAACAAACAAACAAACAAAACCAGAAGAATATACTAGAATTCTGAAGGAAAGCAATTCTGCATGTCTGGAGAGCAAGCCGCATGGGTGGTGGTGCAGACTCCTGGGTCTCCTCTTTGACGGCTCCGCCATCTTCCTTCCAAACCAAGTCAACAGGTGACACAGAGCAACCAGGCCGGACGCTCCCCCACACGGTTCATTTCGCGAGCAGACGGGACGCACCGTGCGTAAATCCGCACGGACGCAGCCAGGGCGGATTTGCAGACATAGCCACGGTTCTGAGCACACGGAAGGAGGGGCCCTTCCAACACCGGCCCCCTCAGTCCCATCCTGAGAGGTGTTCTTTTAAGATTTCATAAACTAGGATGCTACCAGTGCAGAGCCCGCAGGGAAATACGGTATCTCTAAGGACGCGAGCAGAAAATACAAATCAGCAGAGAACGTGTTTACAGATGGTACGGGCAATAAGAAGAGAAGGGAAATAAACATGAGCGGCGGCGGCGTTGGGAATTCTCCCTGACGGCCCTCCCTCCCTCTCGGGTGATTGCCCTGGCAGCTAGCCGGCCGTGTTTTTGAGGATTAGAAGCCTCACGGGTGGTAGAAGGCATTGTCTGTGTTCTTCAGAATAATAAAGTCAATTTACCTTGTGGGTGTATGGGCGGCATCCCTGTCGCTAGGCATCAATAGAGAGCGCGGAGACGCTTTCCTGGACTGCGGGCTGGCCGGCTGGCGACGCTCCGTCACAGCTCCAGCGGGAAGCCATTTCGTTCTTGAGAAGCTGCGTGGCCCGGGTTCTGCTGCTGTTAAGAGAAGAGGCGGCAAAAATACAATCACCGTCTTCATAAGCCCAAGGACGTCACAGAAAAACAACGCAGGCTTTCTAGTGATTTCCGAAAGAGGGGACGAGCCGGGGGTTGGGACTCTGCTCTGTCCACCGTACATGGTCTCCGAAGGCCGGGGTCGCCTGGCAGGACTGGCAAGGAGAGAAAGACGCCGGGCGAGAATCCCACCGTGGCCTCCCCCAGTCCACGGCCTCCCCCAGGCCGCGGCCTCCCCCAGTCTGCGCCTCGCAGCTCCTCCATGCCTGCAAAGCCAGCCGCCAGCCTGGCTGGACCCACATCAGAGCCGCTTCCTGGAAGATGTTTCACCCTTTGCTCGGATTTGCATGCCAGAGGTTGGTCTGTGGAGGGCCGGCCCGGTCCAGCCATGCTCAGGAGGGGGGTTTGGGGGAAGGCCGTGGGATCCGGGGGATCTCTAACCTCACGCGTGAGCTAATCCGTCAATGAGGTGAGGAGGAACAGGCTCACCCACGGGTGACGTTAACGCTCTGACGGCAGGATGGGGAGAGGATGGACACTCCGGGACGGAGGGACCGGCCAGAGGCGGGGAGGTCCCCGAGGGACACACCGCGGACACACTGCCCCTGGCCGGCCCCTCCCTCTCTGCATCCTAGACACCCCGAAGGGAGCGGCGTCCTCTACCGCAGCCTTCCACCTTTAGGATCTGAGGGCCACAAACTCAGAGACTCTGGACTGCCGGGCGCCGGCGGCTCACGCCTGTCGTCCTAGCTACTCGGGAGGCTGAGATCTGAGCATCGCGGTTCAAGGCCAGCCCGGGCAGAAATGTCGCTGTGAGACTCTTTATCTCCAATAAACAAGTCAAAAAAGCCAGACATGGTGCTGTGGCTCACGCAGGAGAACATTCATTAGCCTTGAGCACAGAGAGGCTCAGGGACGGCGCCCAGGCTCTGAGTTCAAGCCCCAGGACCTCCTCCCCCAAAAACAAACAAAAGCAAGCAAGCAAACAAACCAAAAACCCTCTGGCCCATAAGCCAAATAAATGCTGGATTTTTGTGGTAACAGCGGAAAACTCATTAACACTTTCCTCAATCCAAGTACAGAGGCACGTGCAGCAACTTTGCGGGAGGAAGCATGTCGCGTTCGTTTTGTAGGAGTCTGGGCAGAAGGCCGGGGTGCTCGTTTCTCTCCTTTTGGGGGGCGGGGGGGGGTAAAGCGATGTGACAGGCTATGCAGAAATCAGCAGAACGGGATCGGCGGGGGACGAAGGGGAAGGCCGGGCGGGCGGAGGGGAGCTGCCTTGCCGGAAGCTGCTGAGCGTCCCAGACACCGACCGGGCTCCGCAGCCCGCCCGCAAGCTGGGGACCAGTGGGTCACTCCGGTATCCCCGCGTCCGAGGGCCCCGTACGCACACCGCGCCCGTCATGTGAGGATCGGCGAGGGCAGCGTGGAAAGCGACTACATTCCACACGGCGTGCGGCCTGGCGAGACTTGGTGGCAAGGTGGATTGTCTGGGAGCGAGGTGCGTCCTCTGGACACGGCGGAGCCCCGAGCCAGCCGGGAAGGGAGAGGAGCGTGTCTGCCCACACCTGTAACCCCCACTTCTTGGGAGGCTTCCATCGGGGGGTCTGAAGCTGGCCCCAGGCGGCAGGGCTGAGAGTCCTCAACAAAAATGAACTAAAATCAAGAGGGAGGAAAGCCTGGTGCGTGGGGTGGAGCATCTGCCTAGAAGGCACTGGGCCCCACGTACCCTGGGAGGAAAGGAAGCCCAGAACGGAAAAGAAGTGTCTGATTCCTGAGCGTTCTCACAGAAGGACAGACAGACAAGGAGCGGGTACCGCCGTCCACCACACAGTCGGGGGCCACGGTCTCATCTGAAGAAATTAAACACGTTCTGCGTGCGTCCCTGTATTTTTTTTTCCTTCCGATGAGGCAAATTTACATGAGAATATTTTAAAAGGCGGATCATCCACACGCCACCCTTAGGACAGTTCTTAGCAATTCCCCGCACGCCCTTGATGATTCGCACGTTACCTGTGAGAAGGGGCGGCCGGGGGAGCAGTGCCACCAAGCCATGCGTCCGTCCATCCGTCCGTCCGTCCGTCCGTCAGTCCATCCACGGTCTACGGACTATGTCTTTCCTAGGAACGCTTCTCAGAGACCAGTAGAAGGAGTTGGAGGCTCTCTTCCAGCGGGAGGCATGCCTGTGTGTGTGTGTGCACACATGCACGCAGGTGTGTGCACACGCGAGTGTGTAAATGCTGCCGCTCGGGACAGGACAGATCCGACGGGCCAGTGATGTGTAGAAAAGGGATGAAGCCTCGTCAAAGAAGGCAGGATTACAACTTAGCGATACCCGATACGGCGACTGAGGAAGGGCTCACTAAGGCTTAAAGATAGGAGGCCACCAGGCGAAAATCCTGGGGGAGAACATTCCAGAAAAGCAAGCGTGTGCCCGTGTGTTGGGGGGAGGGCTGGAGCA